GCTTAGGGGACCAGGACAGGGGGATGAGATCAGCCTGCTCCCAGTGTTGTGTGGGTCTGATGGAGAAAACACTTCTTGTGAAGGTGTCAAGCCCATGTGAGCCATGGAGCTTTCCACCTCCCTTGTACATGCTGCTCCTTCCCTCCTCTCCCATATCTTCTCCTGGCTTATGGCATCAGGTTTCCCAAGGACAGTAGAATTTGCCTGAAACCACCAAGGGTTTTTGCCCTTTGGAAACAAGAACTGGCTCTCAGCCGGGGTCTATGTCCTGGAGTTTAAAGGGCTGGAGCAGTTGCTTCTCCTGGATCCAAGGGTTGGTGTAAACCCTGAGTGGGAGGGGTGTCTGTGGGAAATGCTATAAGGAAATACTAGGGAGCAAAGCAAACAGTGAGAGCTGGAGCAGAGGAGGACAAGCAGCATGGCAGGGTTCCATGTCCGCTCCGTTCTGGTGACTGGAGCCAACCGGGGCCTCGGCCTGGGGCTCGTTCAGCATTTCCTGAGGATGCCAAAACCACCACAGTGGATCTTTGCAGGCTGTCGGGACCCCAAGGGACAGCGAGCACAGGTGAGGCTGGGCAGGGAGGCAGTGACTGTGCTGGGGAATGGGAGGACTCAGTGTCAGGGGGAAATTGGAACAGGGAGGGCACTTGCAAGTGTCTGAAGATGCAGTCAGGCACCCGGGGCACAGGGCAGCTGGGCTGAGAGAGCCAGCAGTGGGAGCAGCTGTGCATGGGATGTGTGGAGGGAACAGTGGTACTTGGGCATGGAGTCCTCCCCATCCATTCGGTTCAGGCAGCTGGAGCATAGTGTGGGGTCCATGGCAGTGCAAGGATGGAGCCAGAGCAATGCAGAAACCGGGGAACAGCTGAGCCTCTGCACAGCCCCTCCAGCCTCTCCATGCCTACACAGTGCCCTCCTCTGCACAGCCCCTCCAGCCTCTCCATGCCTACACAGTGCCCTCTCTTACAGGAGTTACAGAATTTGGCCTCCAAGCACCCCAACATCATCATCATCCCGCTCGGTAGGTGCCCTGAGGTGGAGATCCTTTGCCCCAGTTCCTCTGGCGAGTGCCCAGGCTGGGCACACCCTGGGAGCCCCGTGCTGGGAGGGAGCTGTGCCAAGGGGCTGGTGCCTGCAGGGCCATTGGGCACTGCCACTTCTGGGGGAACAGAGGAGAGTCCCCCATGGGGACACAGGCTCTGACCTCCCCTGTGTTGGCTCTGCAGAAGTTGCTGACCCTGCCAGCATCAAGGCGGCTGCAGCCAAGGTTGGGGAGCACCTGGGGGATTCTGGGCTGAACCTCCTCATCAACAATGCTGGAATAGGCAAGCCAAACTCCCTTGATAATGAGACGCTGGAGAGTATGACCCAGGTTTACACCACTAACACAATTGGGCCGCTGCTGATGGGCCAGGTGAGTCCCCAGCACTACAGCACAGCTCCAGAAGGATCCCTTCCCTTGTCCTCCAGCTGGACATTACAGAGAGAGTGAAGGGCCAGTGGGAGGAGCTCCTGTCACTGCTCTGGTGCTCTGATGGGCTCCCAGTTGATGAGAAGCTCATGGAGTCATGGGCTGGAGTTCAGGAGCTGGAGCCAGACTGGCTGGGGTAATGGGAAGAGGACATTCTTCCAGTGCTGGTGTCAATGTTGCCCACTGTGGAAGGAGCTGGTGCTGTCTGCCCTGTGCCATGTCTGTGTGTGCTCCTGTCCCTCTGTCTCCTCACAGGCATTCCTGCCCTTGCTGAAGAAAGCTGCCCAGGGGAGCCCAGGCTCAGGGCTGAGTTGCAGCAAGGCTGCCATCGTCAACATGTCCAGCTATGCAGGCTCCATTGAGGATATGTATGTATGGGATTTTGGACAAGTTGTCTCGTACCGCTGCAGCAAGGTACTGCCAGATGTTGCTGGGGGTGAGCCCAGACATTTTCCCCTCCAAATGATCACACTGCCTTCCAACCTCCCCCTCAGTCTGTGCCCCTCTCTACACTGTGACTGAGCTGTCAGTCCCTGGGTACCCATCACAGCACAGCCTGGCCTTGGGTCCTACCTCAGAGGGACTTGATACAATAGGACTTCAACTAGGCTGGGCATAGGGATAGTGAGGGAGCATCATGTAGTGGCCCCCTCTGCCCTGTCCCTGCCCAGCTGTAGGGTCTGCACATGTCCCCTGGCAGCTGCCTTTCCCCTCCCACCACTGTCCCTGCATTGTCTCCCCACAGGCTGCTCTGAACATGCTGAGCAAGTGCCAGTCCCTGGCGTACAAGGAGCACGGCATCCTCTGTGTCGCTCTCCACCCCGGCTGGGTGCAAACAGACATGGGCAGTGCTGCAGGATCATTTAAGGTAAGAGATCTCCTGTCCATGGTCTGGGAGAACCTCATGGTTTAGGAATGCAGAATTTGCTGTGGTCTCATGCTGGGCTGTGTGAGAGCTCCTGGGCAGATACCCTGGAGGCACAGGAGGGACGGATATGAGCAACTGGGAATGCTCCTTGCCCAGAGCAATGATTTGTTTCAGGGCAGATCCTTGAGCACAGAACTGTTTCTCCCTCTTCCCCACAGCCTCCCCTGACAGTGGATGACAGCGTGCAAGGGATGCTGAAGGTGCTGTCCTCCATCTCTGAGAAGGACACTGGGACCTTCCTGGACTGGGAAGGGAAGGTCATACCCTGGTGAAATGCTGATTCAGGATTCTGACTGTGAGGACCACTGCTGCTGCACCATGTTGTGCCTGTCCCTTAGTAAATGATTGTCCACAAACAATAAATAGCACTGTGTGAGCCTCCTTCCCTTGATCCTCTGTTAACTATCACTGAGAGAGTCCTCACTGGTGCTTTGAGAGTTCTTCTCAGTTGTTTCTGCATATCATTGAGCTAGGTTGGTGTGAACATTTGTTCTTTTCTAGCTGGGGACCTGGACACCATTCTGATAAGAACTTGTCCCCCGGCTCGTCTCCCAGAGCTCTCCCTCAGAATGGCAGCGTCACCTTACAGTGACTCAGGCACTCCTCCCAGTCCTTCCTCGTTTGTCAGTTCCAAGTCTAAGCAGAGCCCTGCTCAT